TATGAAAAACGTAAAATTCTTGAAAATCACATTTTCAAGAAAGTAGAAAATCACCGATGAATTCGTATGTGGACAAATTGAAAATCGTTTTTTATTTTATATAACTTATTTTCCACTTTACAGTGTAGGTGAACTGTCACCTACTGGAACAGTACACGAATTTACAGTGTCTGTCTGTGCCCAAAGCACGCTTTTTTCGGTTTAGGGTGATAAAAATGCCCTTACTTGTCAAGGACTTTCACAAAGTACGTCTTAGCAATAAAAGCAAGTATTTTTATCATTAAGAACTACTTTTGAAAGTACGTGGCAAGTGAGAAATTTTGAAAACACGTCAATTTTTCCAAGTACTTAGCGTCAAGTACGTTCTCTAAGGAAGTACATCAGAGTTGTAGTACACACCATACGCAGAAAACTATTCTTTTCAGTAAAACTTCAGTTATAAACTTATACATGATTATTTTTCAATGAAAGTTTGTGTATAGAAGTAAATATACGTCGAGAATATACTCGTCAAATTACAAACTCATCCTATGTAGCATTCAGGAAATATTGAAAAATGATGCGTCGAACGTTTCTACAACAAGTTATAATCACTTGCAAAAATCATTTGAAATCACATAATGATTGAAAGTAAAATTACTTTTTCTCTAAAAAACTTCAACAGATCATTTTGATTTTAACAACATATACAGCCCACACCTACTAGCACCTGTAAGCAAACTTTAACAGTAGAGAGAGATACGGAAGGTTTAGAGATATTACATCAGAACCCTTTTGGTAGTTGTTTTTTTGATGTTGTGATGAAAATAGTCTAAAAATAATTCTTATCCTACGCGCCTAATCAACGAAACATTTCAAAAGGACTTTGTTCATAAAAAGTTGTTCGTTGTACTCGTTTGTATGGCATAAGATATTTTTCTTTTAGGCGGATGTGACCATTTTGGAATACTATAAATAGAAGCTATGGTTATAGTTTCTTAGCAATATTAAAACTATAATTTTTGTGTACAGGTTATTATTATGTCTGACTTCGAAAATCAATCTGATTCCTTCCTCCTTCAAAATAGCTGGAAAAATCGACTTTTGGTAATTTTCAAAAGGTTCATAACTCCACTAAAGTTTATCTAACTCGCAAGTTATTGTAACCCCAAGCTCTCAGAAGTGTTCTCTACAAACTGAGAAAAAGTCCTCATGTGATATTTTATCGTAATAATTTTGTTTTGAACAACTGCATAAGTGAACAAATTGACATTTAGAGACAGTATATATGAAAACAAATTATTCCATGTATTTGAAGGATGACCACTATTAGGTTAAAAGATTTCTTCAATGTTGACAACAGCTAGTCTCATTTACTTAAGCTGAAATAGTGAATGCTGATATAAAAAGATTGTATCCAATCGTTTCTAATGAAAGCGTTGAAATGCTGACCAGTATGAGAGTATCTCATGTGCTTTATCAATTATTCATACAGCTAACAAAACTATGCTCTGTGTTAAAGTTTCTTTCTTTCCATATGTGCATTTTTATTTTAATTTCATCATAAATATTGATAAAAGGTATTAGAGAAATATGTTTTATTCTTTTTTTGTTTATTCGATTCTATTTGTGATACGCACATGAAAAATAATAATCTCAGCATTTGACAGGTGTATATCAGAAACAGGGATAGGCGAGTCTGGGGGAGGTACCGAGTCCTCAGTCTGGTAATCTTTTAGATTCTTTTTTGATGATTGCAGTTTATTTTTATTCTTTTTCTGTGCCATTTAATACATCAATCTTGTTGAAATAGTTGAAACTTCTATTACATTTTAACATTGTCGGTTGAGATAGATTGTTTTTCATAAAACCTGCTCATTCGCGTCTAATCAAAAAACCTGATTGAGAAAAAATACGGTTCGATGTAGCTGAAACATACAGAAGCTTTCCAGTTATGCTACCGAGACTTGGATAGATCGGACTCGAAATATCAAAACTAAAATTCGAGTCCGAGTCCTTCAAAAAATCTCCAGCCCAAGTCCGAGTCCACCGAAAAATCTGTTTTCTCCTAATAACAAAAATATATTTTTGATTCAGAAATATATTATTATTAGGAGAAATATATTGTTATTAGGAGAAAACTAACCTTAGACTATTTATTCTAACGAAAAACTTGGATAAAGAAGTCACAATCATATTTTATTTGTTATGTAAAATTTATTTAAACTGAATTAAATTATTTTAGAGGAATATGATCTTGGGATAATTTTAGAACCTTCTTCAATGACTGTCAGTTTCTGTAGTATATCTCCATATAACTTCTTACGTAGATGTAATCTGCATACAGAAATGTTTTCGACATATATCAGTTTACTTTTCATACCATTATGAGCAGGCGGAAACCCATGCCAGACCATTAGCAGAGTTCCTAAAATCACATTTCGTTCTTATCAACGAATTAACAATGGCATATTGTTTTATTTTGATTTATTGAAATCTAATTATCAGTGTTAGAAAATACAGATTTTTTGGTTCTACGGGTAAGAACAAACCAGTTAAAACCTGCAGTGAGCCATATGGTGTACAACCATGCATCTTTATAAATATTGAAAGAAAGAGTGATTTCTGTTGTGTGAATAAACATTTCAAACATATAATTCGTCACTAGACTGTCTTAACTATGAGTGATTTAACCAGTTTCGCTTTCATCGTTGTTCCCAAAACTATGACGAGTGTTACTAGCACTAGATGGATTTGTACTCGGTCTACCTGTTTCGTTTTGATTGTAAGTGCGAAAACTACTAAGATTGTCATTAACAACAAATGAATTTTCACTCGTATTATTATGATCGTTATTTTGAAACTTATGAGAACTATTATTAATAATAAATTGATTTGATTTCAACGTAGAAATCGGTTGTTTCGATGAGGAAATTGGTTTATCATGATGAAAATCGCTTAGGTACTTTGGATTGTTCATTTCTTTACATTGTTCACCATACCTCCAAGCAATGCGATTCGGTTTTGACGGAACATGAGTTGAAGTAACGAATTCACCATGTGAATAATTCTTTCTGTGTTCTTTTGAATTATTTGAACAATGATTTTTGAACCAACACGGAATGAGAAAATCGGGTAAACCTGAATGTCTAAACTCCCGTCGATGAATTGGATCGGCAATGTTGTAACATGATTCTCCATACTTACGATTTTGAACATCACGTTTTTCATGTGTGAATTGAACAAGATGTTGTGAATTTCTGATGTCTCGGCATGCATCCGCATAACGACATGGGTGAGAAAATTTTGAATTGTGACTGTCAGCATCGGTCGCATGGTGTAATGAACAATTGAATGAATCACGGCAAGCTGGTAAAGGGCCATAGCGCGTGCCGAAAACATCGATAACGTTCTGTGCGCTCCTGCTGACAACGTCGACAAAGTTCTGCACAAGGGTTTTGGATGTCGGTGATGATGACCGCAGATAATGTTGCCTGATTCCATCGTTTGAAACTGCTACTGATAATTTAACATCTTTATTGTGAGTGGTAGTGTTAAATGTTTTATCAAATGAAACGTGAAGTGCAGGAACTACTTTGTATTTCACAGTCAAGTTTTTAAATGTAACTGAATTTGAACCAGTGCTAATATTTATGTATTGTAACGTTTTTAAGTTTAATTCAGACTTCTGAAATTTGCAGCTTAGTTCAGAATGATTGTATATACCATTAGATCCAGTGTGCATAAGCGAAACATCGCTCGTGTCACGATTCATTCTCAAACAATAGCCGATAAAATCATCCGTATTACAACCTCTATGAAACGACATCGTACTGATTTTAAAACTGCGTCTTTGAATCACAACATCATGTAATGAGGGAGGAAAGGTACTTATGTAACTATACAATTCGACATAAGAATCATTAGGTGCAATGTAACATGTCAAAATATTCGAATTGTGTGAATAATTTCGATCATCCAACTGCTCATTTGTTAATGTAATCATAAAATTACCGTGAAGAGCACTCCAATAGATATAGACACAGCCATCTCCTGGTTTTCGGGACCAATATCGTTGAACGGAAATCATTGGCTGTTATATTAATAGTCGTACCACTAATGCTATGTAATGAGTGATGATCGCGGCTAAATTTTATAGCTTGGTCACGAAATTTTGCACAGAATTCCTTGTTCAAAGACAACTGATACTTTTTTTCGTTGGCATCCAATGTTCCTGATGGTGGTATTGTTACGTCATCTTGTCTTATGATTAGCTGCTGTCTAAACACTTGCTTGATGGCAGTCTTTGCGCTAGGTGATAAGGACTCAAAAATATTTTTTGGCATATAGATTTGATCGACATAATCAAGTGGAATCAGTTTGGGTAAATGTGCTTCGAAAACATCATGTGAATCGTGTCCAAGCCAACTCCTCTCGATCTGCTTTAAATCAGCAGACATGTTTTCAGCCGCAAGTAGTTCTAAACCAGCTGCAATCTCGTAACCCTTGACTGAACAATGAAGTTTAGATGAATGGAAATGTTCAATTCGTTGTTTTAGATCGTTAGGATCTTTCCACCGGGTCCGGCGACTAAATGTTCGCCCACTGTAAAAGCTGGGTGCAGCAGCAGGCGTAAAATTAGCATCTGGATTAGGGGTGGCACTTTCCCGTTATCGTTACTGTAACGGGTAATAGAAACCCGTTACCTGTTACCAGTAACGGTAACGTAAACCCGTTACCTGTTACCAGTAACGGATAATGGAAAGCCGTTACCTGTTACAAGTAACGGCAACGAAAATCCGTTACCAGTTACCGGTAACGGGTAATGGAAATCCGTTACTCGTGTTACTTTTAGCAAGTAACGGGCGAATTATTTTTTTCGGATGAAATAACCTTTCAATTAATTTGTTAACCCGTTGAAACTCATAGAAATATGAAGTGA